GTATAAAAATTTATTAAAAATTAAATAGTTTTAAATTCTCAAATTCGCGCGAAAGTAGTTTTAATATTTTAAACTTTAAAGATGTCGCGTCTTACTTGTCTGTCTTACTTGCTCATCATCAAAGTTGTCAAGGCTAATAAATATATATTATTGACATCTTTAAAAGATATCCATACGTCTTCAGCAAGATATTTGGCATATCTTAGATACCAAGTGAATGATGTGAGGACAGCAATTTACAGTACAGGCACCATACTTACGTATGCAGTAGAGGAGAAGGTGGTATTATGGCCAGTGTATATATTGTAATATAACCTCCCTTAATATCGTCACTATTATATAGCGAATCCTAATAATTACTTATGGAATTATTTGTTCAGTAACTCGCCGTTACATCATACGCTAATATACCAATATTCAATAGCCAGCATTTATAATAATATATTTTTACGTTCAAGTATTTTAAAATGTTTCTGAGGTACATTTTAGCATTTAATTACATCTATTTCCACATTTTTCGTAAACTTGAGCGTATTATTACATGAATATATGTATTTTTGAGTATGTTATTTGCTACTTACATTTTATTTGACTGTATATATTTTGACTTATGCAAATTTAAATAGCATAGCATTTTGCTAATATGGCCCTCTACAAGTATTGATTACTCACTCTTTTTTGAGGTTTTCATATCAAAATAATTATTTGATAATCCATGCTCCACTGTTAGTGTATACACTAACTATAGTTTATATTACGTGTATTATTTTTAGTACTGAGATTTTTAGTACTGAGCAGCTTATATGCAGAAATTATGTGAATATACTTGTATATATATATATGTACATACATTTTAAAATGTTTTAGTTTTTTGTTAATTTTGTAACCAAATACTGTTTTCTATACAAAACTAATATTTTAAAGCTATTTTTATGGAAGGTCACATTACCACCTATTTTTTTCTTCGAATCATTATACAATGTCGCCACAGTTATTAATAGTATCCTAAGTAATAAATATTTTATAATTTTGAATTCAGAATCGATTTGATGACAACATCTTAACGAATGTAATTGTCAAATTTTTAATTTAAATATTGATTATTAACAAAGTTATTATGTAAAATGTAACTGAGGTATACCATAATACTATCTTTTCCTCTGACAGTGTTTTTTCTTTCACCGTTACGGTCTCTTACAACGTAAACGTGATATCCTACTTTATTTATATGTCTAGATTGTATCCTAGCACCGAAAGATCTGCAGCACTTGCTTCTTACCGCAGTCACCATGAGGATGTGTTCTTGACACAGAAATAAATCTTGTGGGACGAAGAGATACGGATAAAAAAAAAATCTAGAAATATGTTTATTTATATAATAAAAATCATCAGTTGATTGAAAGCATTCTGCAAGTATAAATAGCAATATAATGTATCTTATATGCTACATCGAGAGGTGAGATTGTAACACTGATTTGCAACTGTTGTAGCAATTTGCAACAGTTGATACTTATGTAATTTTAATCTATACTTTATGCTCTATAATCTGACATATTACTCATCTCTGAGGGACTTGAAGCTTTATATAAAGTAGTGCAGATTTTAGTCTGCTACCATATACATTATTCCTAAGTTATTCAACAAAAGCAATAAATAGATTGCATTTATTCATTTTTTTTTATATACGCATTATCATAATTCAGTCATGTAAATTTTGTCCTTGATCATTTAAATAATGAAACGACTTGCATCGTGTAAATTAACTTATTGCCATCTCTTCTATAGTATTATATTTAACATTTTTATTTTGACGTAACGCGAAATTTAAAATGTCAAAGGATGTAATTAATATTCATGATAGAGAGACTTTAATTATTGTCACTATTTATTATCGAGAGACTGTTGTTTTGCATTGTATTCCTATAAAGTAATGGATCATAAAAGAATTACAATGCACCTGCACAAAGAAATTTTCGCATTGCTCTTCACTTTTTATAACTTTGTAAGCGTCCCAGCGTTTCACTAACGCTCTTCTCGTTAAAAGTATTCTTTAAAATATTAACGTGATTAATAAACCGAGTACTGTTCATCTCTCCTCCGATAAATACTAACAAGACTTGCACTGCGACGAAATTTATTTACAGCATATCATCAAGATTATGTTCATATACAAATATTATACAAAAAAATTTGTTTTAATTATACAGGCGCATATAAATACAAAAATAATCACGACGCGAAGAGCCGAGTCTGTTGCCAGTCTATATCAGTCGGGATCGAATACTCAATCCTCGTTACAATCACGATTCGGTTTCACACCAGGCTTCTTCTAATCGTCTCGTCTCCTCGAAATTCGCCTTTGATTCACCGATTTTATTCTTCTTTCGTTATAGGGCCTTTTTTGGAATCCTTTATTGATTCTCCTTTATTGATTCATTCTCCTGTTCGGGGTGTTCGGCGATGTACTGAAGAGCCCTTAGAATTTGAGGTGGCACTGGAGGCGCGGTCGGCAAGTGAGCACCTTCTGCTTGGAATCCATTCTCATTGGCTACGTACGAGATTTGGTAGGTTTGTCCTTCGGGGCCAGTATAGCTGAAGCTGCCATGTGCTTCCAGGGCTTCGCTGTCGGTACCAACGTTGTTAAGATGGCCCTCCTCTTGGACTTGAATGCCGTTACCAGTCTCATAGTTGTAATTGTAGGATCCATCGGGATTGGGTCCGTCCAAGGCTTGCTTGACGATGGGGATTGGACTGGTGTTGTCAACGGGGGCGGCGATTGCCACTGCCACGAGGGCACACAAAGTGATTATCTAAAAGGACAAAAAATCATGCAATCCTCCTGTTATGGAAGAATATTATTGGACTCACAAAAAAAATTGGAAATAATTCGAAAATCGATCAAATCGAATATTGTACACTATTCGTTTTACTAGTTTTTTATTAATCCAATTATAAGTACTCTTCGATAAGGTATATTATACAATTTGACTTTATTTTTGTGTTAGAATAAGGATTTTTTCTGAAAAGAGTATTGAAAGAGCAAAGATATTTCAATATAATCTATTTTCATCTTAAATAGTGCACGATTTAATATAAAAAATACTTATCTTTATCTGAATAATTTATAATATCCGATATTACAATAATATATATTAATTCTACAAAAAATTGACACCTTGATTAGAGATTTTAATACCATTTTATGTTAGAAGAAAAACAAACATTTTATAAAGTAAAAATAGAAAATAAATGAATATTAAAGGGTATATTTATTATATTAATTATAATGTTGTATTATAACATTATTATAAACGCTTATCCTTATTTACTACTTAATTAAAAAATTTAAACTATATTGTTTGTAAGCAATAAAAATTAAATAATTTAATTAATATAATATAACAAAGATTCTTAATTACATATTTAAATTACAAGTACTTTGCCCTAATTAACCAAAATAAACATTTTAATTAATTTACAAAGACACTCGAATTATAAAAATATTGCAAATTTGAAATCACGTCTATAAATAATTACCACTGCATTACGTAACGTATTTTATTCGCACAAAAACTCAAACTTACCAATAGATTCATATTGAAAGAAAGATATTTTGTTTTCCAGTTGTCACTCGGAAGCTTGTCATGCACTGACTTAACATCTTTTGCACATCTTCCGCTTTATATATCCTCCATCTGAACATTCGGGGACTTTCTGGTGATACCTTATTTAGCCCCCTCTATCCTCCGGGTCCCCTTGTTCATCTTCCCACTTGAATAAGTCGTAGCATACATCTAAATTTTGCGGATGAGTCGAACGCGCTCGCGCGCATACACACACACACATTTGTGAAAAGTCTGGTCTTTTTGGGAAGATTTTAAACTTGAAGTTATACGTATTCCTAAAATCGCAAAAGGTCGTCATGTCAATTTAGTAAAAAAGGTGAACTCGCTTAGAATAAAAACTAAATAATCCTATTATTATGGAAAAAAATAGCGTATATTTTATCAGCTCCAAGCTAAAAATTATGGGTGAAACCCGCATAAATTGTCGCATAAATTGCCATTCTAAATGTGCAATAATAAAGAACGATCAATATGAGCAGTATCACACAAAGTATCATGATACATATAAATTAAAAAAAAATGTCAAAATAAAACACAATGTAAAACAGATTTATCAAAAGATATTATTCTATAAAAAGAGATAGCAATCAAATCATGTAACTTGACTTTATTTTTATGTTAGTCATATTTTTTAAAAATTATTATATATAAAATGCATGTTGAGCATTTTTTACATAATATCTCTATTATATTTGGAAAAGTGAATATATTATTTTTTTTTTTCGTAAAACTATTCATGTACATTCTTTTTTTTTTAATTTTTATGCATCTATATATTGCCAACGTATATCTATCTTAAGAAAGTATTTTTAAAATATGTACATATACGTAACATATTTACAAATATGTACATATATAATTCATAATTTCATATATAATTTTAATAGTTATATCTAACTTTTTTTAATAGATATATTTGACTTTTTCTGGCTGAGGAATGAAATTACATTCACACACAAAAAAATCATAAAAAACTTCTACCATTATACATATTATATATGTATACAAAGTCCTTTTGATAATTGTTATAATTATTATTATTTATTTTTACAATTTTTTAGCAAAAATAAATTTTAGCTCAGTCCTAGTATAACACAAAATTAAAGATAATTTTAATTTCTAATTTTAGTATATTGGAAAAATGTTTAAAACAAATCGTTTTCCGCTTATTTTTAATTAATGTCAAAATAGAATTTTGTAACAATATTCTTTTAAAAATTCTAACGATATTTATGAAAGTATTTCTGTATTATATTCTGTTGTATATTTAAAATATAGAAAATTTGCTCTCTCTCACACACACACACACACACACACACACACACACACACACACACACACACACACACACACACACACACACACACATTTAAAATAGAAACTTTATACACAGTATGATATGCGATTTTTTAATAAATAATCCCTTGACTGTCATAACTGTTATTGGTTTAATTATGATTAATAAAATGTAATTTGGTATTTCTGGAAATGCATTTGATCTAATAAAATATCTTTCTTATTCACATATGACATATTTAAAAATGGAAAGGCAAAAAACGATACCTAAAAAATACAGTAACTGCCATTAAAAATAGATGAAGCCATAACAGAGTTTTTTCTTGTCCAATAAAATACAACTGTCGAATGCGTCATTGGAATATAAAAACCTGATATACATCTATGCTAAAGAACAACTCGTAACCATCAAAAGATTCACGTATTCATATAACATGTTAAAAATAGCACCATAAGGTATCAATTGCAATGTAAATTATTACATTCAAATTTAGTTACTAGAGTTATTCTCGTATATATTTTACAATACTTTTTTCAAAATAATATTAATTAACAAATCGCCTCGCGATTCCAATTTGATGTGAACTTTTAAAGCCAGATATTTCGAAAATATACAGTTAGTGTCTTACAAATTATCTTTGTCTGTCGTCGCAGACACGTAAGTGTCGCTAATTTTCTCACGTAAGTAGGTATATACTTATTAACAGAGTTGGGAAAATTATTTTATAAGTTACTTATAAATTATTTTTCAGGTTACTTTATATGTGTTTGTTACAACAATTGAGTACAAAAAATAATACAAAATTAGAAAGCAAATAATTAAAATTAAATAAAATATAAAAAATAAAATACACCTTATTGTACTTAATAAAATGTACGAACTATAAAATTACCCGATACTGGATATCTGGTACAAATTCCACAAAATTAAAAAAAATAAAAAGCAAAAGAAAAATTGCAATAATTGTTGATCGGCTATGGAACAGGATCGTTTGCAATACAATAGTTTTAACATTACTTAGTAATCAAAGTTTAATATTAATAAATTTTTTAGACAATAACATTTTAGCGTTTTCCAATTGAAAAGAATAGAATTCTGCATTATAATAATGCAAACTTTCAAATATAAAATTGCTGAGTGTTAATTATATCCGACCGGATAGTAGAAAAAGTATCAGATAATACCGAATGCAGATATTTAGTGCATCTTTAATAAAAAATAACTTATAAGTAATTTATAAAATAACTTCCCCAACCTTGCATGTCAGCCTATACATATTAACCTCGCGGTTCAAGTAAAAGAACGTTCAAGTAAAAAATTAGATTTGTCAAATCTAATAGTTCGCAACGGCAAGAACTGATCTGATAGTATAGATAATATTTAAAATTTATAAATTATTTGTGCCAAGTGACATTATTCCGAGTGTTTATTCCGGTAGCTGAATTCATGACCGAGTGATTCGCAAAATGAGTTAGCCGGCATAGCGAGAAATGGCAACTTATTGAATGTAAATGGCATGTGTCTCTGCGTACATATGTCAAATGCATATATTTTGTCACTGGAAGTGTTAATAATCAAGTAGTTCAAAAATATTTTCATCGTTTATCTTTAACATTTTTCTCCAGGAAATATGTAATATCTTTTATTGGCATTTTCTATCAAATTTCCAGATCATTTTCAGTTATGTTTGCATTACTGTTCTATTATTACTATTATGAATTATTATTCAACCTATTCGAAGGATTTTTAATATGCAAAAAATGCATATATAATAAAATTAGCTAGTAGTATAATATTTGAAAAATTATAATACAAATTATATTACGTGTGCAAAAAGAAAGAGAAAAAGTAAGAATATTCTTGGTAATAAATTAAGCTCACGCGCTACGCAAATGTGTGATAAAAGTAAATCAACGGAAAGTACACAATCTAAAGATGGAAAAACGGAGGATAAAAGGAAATAGAAGGTAAAATAAAATAGTGACTGGATGGAGAACGTTTCTCCGTCCGTATTTAATGGGCATTCGTGCAGTAATTGTTTGAGAGAAATTATTTGGGAAGAACCTCGACTAAGTTATCTGTAGACACACTCTTCTCGGGAGATTTACAACAAGCATACCAATGTATCGTAAACTTAACAATATTATTTAGCGATGGTAACTTTCGGTTTTGAGTAACATCGCCCGCAGCTATCGCATAACCTTCGGACACGTGTGAACATGCGCGTTGCCGTGAAAAAAGTTATTGAATGATGTCATTATTATCAAGCAGACATCATGGTCATCACGGAATATTATAATACAAGTACATGGTAAAGCATACGCACCCCAGTGTTTGAAAAAAAAAGCATCATTCTTGTTTTGCGAGAAACATATGAAAGTATATACCTATACAGTGAATGTAAAAAGTATTCATACAAAGCAGTTTTTATTTTAAAAACTCATTATTTATAAAAAATAAACATGAAATTATTTAATATTTTATTAACAACGAGTACGTTCTGTTCTAATACAAACAAAAAAGCTTCGTAAAAATAATTGTGTTTGTAATTTTAAAAGTAAATTTTTTATGATTGGAAACGAGACCGTCTATATATACATTAAAACTTTAAATACAAAGCGCCTTCCCGGTCCGAGTGTTAAGATGTTTAACTGCTATCTAATATACATTCAATTAAATTGAATTAATATTTCAGAAATAAATTGAGAGCCGATGAAATTATCGGATTCACACAATCAATCTGAAACAAATAATCCCCCCAAATTCTCCCAAATCTTAAAAAACTGTAATAAACTTATTGCGAAAAATATTGCCTCAACCGGGATTTCTTGCATTCCATGCGAGCGTCCTAAGACTTTAGACTACCGAGACCTTAGCAACATTCTTCGCAATAACCGATATGTATAGAGTTACGCATGTATAGGCGCGCGTTTATAAACAATATGATTGGAAACGAGACCGTCTATATATATATTAAAACTTTAAATACAAAGCACCTTCGAGAGCGCAAATCGAGAGGAGATGAGACGGTCACGTAAGTCGCGCGTGTACCTATGTACTTACAAGGGATATATGTCATGTGGGTATGTACACGCGTGTACGTACACGCATGTCGCAGAATCGAGCTAACGAAGCGACAGCTTCAATCTCGAGTTGCGGTTTGACTTTCGGAAAACCAAGACTCAAATGAAGGAACGAGCGCACGAGAATATGCTATACTCCGGCAATTCGATCGTTATACTATAGAGTGCTCTTAATTTTAAGCTCGAGCACCGCGTCAATATTTGGATATACATGGATAAACGCGTGATATGTGTTGGCGGTAGCTCTTTCTCCTTCTCTCTCTCTCCCTTTCTCTCTCTTTCTCTCTTTGAGAGAGCTTATTTTTTTATATTACATAAATGCCAATTCAGACAAGATTCTTCACTCATTCGTTGGTAATATGAATTATTACCACGGAAGAAGTAAAGAATTTTGTAAGAATTATTACCAAGGATATACGCCTTTGCTTTATTTCAAAGTTGTAGATTTCTCCATTGTGATTTGCAATGGAGCTTACCTTAACTAGGATGTTATAAACGGATATCTTCGGTATTTCGCTATAGGCTACAAATAGTAATATGCACTACATAATATCATGTCAGTTAATTTTCCATGATGAGGAAACACCTGCTGCGAGTGAATAAAAGGAATTTGAAGTAAAGATGTTTTTCCACGTACGCGACAGGCAAGACATTCGTATTGG